CCCCAGCCCTGGTATAGTGATATTTAAGACCTTAAGATAAAGGATGAAAATCTTAACAGAAGCTTGACAGCTTGAGGCCTCTTTTGTCAGTAAGGAAAAATTATCAGTTGGATGACATGGCACACTTCTATAATCCCAGCTACTCGGGAAGCTGAGGCAGGAGGATTGAAAATTTGAGGCAAACCTCAGCAATTTAGCAAGACCCTATCTCAGCATAAAAAAATTAAATGAAAGGACTGGGAATATAGCTCAATGGTACGGTGACCCTGCTTCAGTCCCTAGTACCAAAAAAAAATTTTTTTTTAAATTTGGAATTCATAATTTGTAGATAAAATGCCATTCTGTCTTTTCTTATTTTTATTACTATTTTCATTTGTAACTTGGTGTGATCATCTTTCAGTCAAAGAATTTGAAACATTCTTCAGTACTGGGAAGTTTTTAACTCATGTCTCATAGTGCTCCTTTACAGCTTTTCTTTTTTTTTTTTTTTAATGTGTGTGTGTGTGTGTTGTAGATGGGTATAATCCCTTTATTTTGTTTATTTATTATTTTTATGTGGTGTTGAGGATCAAACCCAGTGCCTCACACGTGCCAGGCAAGTGCTCCACCTCTGAGTCACAACCCTAGCCCCCTTTCCTAGCTTCTTTATTCTCTAATTCTGGAGTTCTTGTTAGATGAAAATTGGGTATTTTATTTTCTCTGCTTCTTAATCTCTCATTTTTATTTTTTGTTTGTGATTAATTGTAGTTAATTCCTCAGAGTATAATGGAATGGTATAAATAGTTGCTTCTACCCATAACAGAATCTACTGAGACAAAGGTCTCACAAGCTAATTTTATTTACCTAGTTCAAGAATATTATTTCATTGCCTAGTAATGTTCCTGGCATTATGATATAATTATTTTAATTATTTTTTAGGGTGGAAGCATAATTTAATTGATGAAATATCGTATTTCAGTTGTTCCAAGTGCAAGAAAGTTCTATTTTCCAATAACTTTCAGTTTATTGCAATTAAAATTTTTAGAAAAGCAATAATGGTTAAGTATTATGACCTTTCTTATCTGCCATCAAAGAGCATTTGTTTATCTTAAATTATCAATTTTATGAGTCTCTTGCACCTTTCCAAAAGATATTTGAGCCATGTCACAACAAAAGAGTAAAACTATGGTTGATTAAAAAAAAAAAAAAAATCAGATCTATGGAAAAGAAGAGGAAGCAAACATGCTAACCATTATTACGTAGCTCATTCATACCTCATTTTAACTAAACTAATTGCTATGATTGTATATGAATTTTGTGTTGAAGCTTACTGAAATACAAGTTCCCTTTATCAGAAAGAGAAAGGCACAAGTGAAAGATTCCTCTGAGTTCTAAAAGAAAAATAGTGAATAACAAATCATTTAAAATGGACACATTGCTGGGCATGGTGGCACATGCCTGTAATCCCAGAGACTCGGAAGACTGATGGAGGAGAATTCCAGGTTTGAAGACAGCCTCAGTTATTTAGCCAGGCACTTGGAAATTTAGCTAGACTCTGTCTCAAAATAAAAAAGGCTAGGGTTGTAACTCAGTGCTTAAGCGTTCCTAGGTTCAATTTCCAGTGTCCCCTCCCCAAATAAGATAAAAATTAAAAATAGATAACAAATTAGCTGAGCATGGTTACACACATCTCTAGTCCTGGTGATTTGAGAGGCTCAGGCAGGAGGATCACAAGTTTGAGGTCAGCCTCAGCATCTTAGTGAGACCCTGTCTTAAAAAATAAAAAGAGCTGGGGATGTAGCTCAGTCATAGGAGAGACCCTGGGTTCATTCTCCAGTACCACAAAAATAAAAAAGGACAATTTATTGGTACCAGGGGTTGAACTCAAGGACATTTTATCAGTGAGCTACACCCCCAGGCCTTTTTATTTTGTTTATTTTGAGATAGGCTCTTGCAGAGTTGCTTAACAGACTTGCTAAATTGCTGAGGCTGGCCTCAAACTTCTGATCCTTTTTGCCTCAGCCTCTGTAGCTGCTAGGACTACAGGTGTACAACACCATATCCAGCCCCCAAGTCTTTTATTTCTAAAAGTTAATATACCACACATAAGCCCTGCTCTCAAATTGCTCATGGTCTTTGGAGTGGTTAAACAAAAGGGATAATTATTTCAACTAGATTCACAGTATCAGGGTACACAGGAAGGTCATTCCGCTAAATCCTAAGGGAGGGCATTGGGCAGGAAATTATTTCCCAGGAAGAGTTGTGGTAAACTTTGAAACAAAATAAAAGTTAACTGGGCCAAGAAGGAACTTGGAGGACATAGTTGAAGGCAGAAAGACAAGTGGTGCATCCTACATGTACAGCATGCATAGTGACTGAGCCAATAGAGATGATCTGTTGCAATAAATTTTTATAGTTTGATGTGATTGGAATTTAGAGAGCAAATTGGAAAGATATTAGTTGAAATAAGCAAGAGCCTTAAAGATTCATATCAATTATAGAAGCCATTTTCATATGATCATTTAATTTTAATAGCCTTTAAAGCTTAGTATCCTGATTCCCAAATAGAACAAAACTCTAGGTTTTTCAGCAAACACTCTGGGTCCTAAAATATATTTTGAATTTTGGAGGGAAACAGTGACACCCCTCATTGTTAGATGCCACATGAACTAACTGAAATCAGTTAACTGTTAATATTAGGCTATTCTACATTAACTTTGCAAAGTGGAACAGATAATGATAATAGGAGTGTCTAACCTGATTTCAAGCTTTGAGAAATTGTAAAGTACTTGATAGGCAGACACATCTCATTAGTAAATAACTATGGTTATTAAAAAAATAAAAATTTTTCTTTTCTTTGAACTTCTGTGTATTTATTTCAAACAGTGACTAAATTTTCAAAACGTAAATATTTATTAAGTTATTTGTACCTTAGTGCTCACTATATGGAACTATTGGGTATTTTTGGCAAAATTGAACATTTGATATGCTAAGGATACCATAAACCAAGACATTTTGGGAACCTCTGGCTTAGTATATTTTATTAAAGAGCAAATTTGTTTAAGCAATTTGTGTGCTGTTTTCTGATAAATTTATAAAAATCAAAATATAAATATCTAGAAGAAAGTGATTAAACTTCTTTCATCTAAGCATTGTTTATTACAGTGTACTTTTCATAAAGCTGGATAGCTAGAATTTTGGATTTTATTCTTTAAATACAGTCATATGGGGGAATATTTTGATAACTAGCCAAGGTAAATTCCTAAACTAGGGAAACTAAATGAAAGATAGGACTTATATTCCATTATAATATTGAAAAACCTAGACAATATTTTGGCCCAGATAGAAATCATCCTGTATCCACATAGATGAAAATTAGAAATTTATAGCTTACTAGGTGTAGATTATGTATTCCAGGAATTTTTAGCCTAGGTCTGTGGAATCTGGAAATCATACAGACAAATATGAAGTTTTCTTTGGTCTACTATTTTCTTGGTCATTTCAAAAGGGTTGTTGATCCTGAAAAGGTTAGATTAATAGAAATTAACTTCTTTATTTTTTATATAATATGCCTATAGGCAGAGGGTAAATTGGTATGAAAGCCAAGTCTAATATTCATAACATCTTTTAGTTTACATTTTGTATTTTGTATGATGTATTTTGGTTGATAGTTTGAGGGATAAAAGATTAGATGTAAAAAGCACTTACAGCAAAAATTTAAATAGAACTTATTTATATGGGTGTGATGGATGAATTTGCAAAGAAATTAAAGAAAAAATTTTAGTTAATTAAGTTGTGTTTCTAGAGGTGCATGAGAAGCTATATAGTGAAGTATGTCTTCCTACTTTTTATGTCCTTCACAATCTCAACTCTTCCTAGTAGTAACTGTTACCTTGTTTTTTGTCCAGAATTACAGAAGTTTAAAACGAATGCAGTTATTTATATACCTAAAACAGTAAAAGATATATAAATAACTCGAACATAACTTAGACTGTTTTAAATACAGATTTAAGGTCAGGTTTGGGGATGCACACCTGTAATCCCAGCAATGTGGAGGTTGAGGCAGGGGGATTGTAAGATCAAAGCTAGCTTCAGCAATTTAGCAAGACCCTGTCTCAAAATAAAAATGAAAAGGACTGAGGATGAAACTCATTGGTAAATATTACTTGAGGTCAATCTCCAGTACCATCAATCAATTGATACCCAACTTGAAGTGATTTGATTTTCATATTAAGATGAATATACTGGTCTTAGTTCTCTTTTAGAATATAATTTAGAGGTATTTTCTAGTAATGTTTTTGTAGTGAGTCAACTAAATTATCAGTTTTGGTAGTTAGCCATGAAACATATAAATGGAATCCTGAATAGCCTTCCCAAGTTATAATATGTTTTAATTCATTAGCTATAAAGTGGTCATAAATGTTTTTGACAATATAAGTTTATTTCAAAGTGTTTTCTTAAACAAGATAAAATTACAAACATAAAGGATTTAGTAATACATTTATTAGGTGACTAGTATAGTGGGCCAGGAATCATATTTGGAGTTTCACATAATATTTTGGATTATCACAGTATCTCCAAGAGGTAGCTAATGTTATTATTTAGATTTTTAGAGATGATTAAACAAGTATTTAAAAGATAAATAACTTGCCCATGATTTGTAGTGTGGAAGTTGTGATCTAAATTAAGTTTACAGGATATCAAAATCCCCTAATTTTACATAACCTTTTTTTATATAACCGTTAGATATCTTTGTAAATATGTTGAATTCACTTTATTTTAATATTAAATGTTTTTGTCAAGTAATGTTACTTAGTGATAAGTGTTTTTGAACTTATGATTTTATATGGTTATTAGGTAAATTAGTAGTTTTTGCATATTAAAGAGAGAACTAAATATAATTAAGTATAATGTAATTAAGAATTTCTTTATGTTGAAAACAATGTAATCTTTACTACTGAATTTTTACTAAGTAGCCAACTTTCCTAAACTCCCATATTTCTGTTTATCTTATTCTGTAGGGAGAGCCCCGAAGTCTTCCATTTTCTGAGAATGTGAGTGCTGTTCAAAAATCAGACTTTTCAGATATAGTGGTGCAACAGAAATTGGATGACATCAAGGATCGAATCAAAAGAGAAATAAGGAAAGAACTGAAAATCAAAGAAGGAGCTGAAAATCTGAGGAAAGTAACAACAGATAAAAAAAGTTTGGCTTATGTAGACAACATTTTGAAAAAATCAAACAAAAAATTAGAAGAACTACATCACAAGCTGCAAGAATTAAATGCACATATTGTTGTGTCAGATCCAGAAGATGGTACAGGTATAGTATTTTATTTGATGTTTATATGGTGTATAAATAAGAAATGTATCATTTTTTAAAACTAAGTTTTGTGCCATGTAGTTTTTAGCTTACCTGAAAGGCCAATCTACTTTCTGTTGGTGGTTAAGGTCTTGTTTATAATCAATTCAGAAGGACAGTGAATTGATGGACACGATAATTGAAACATTTACTTAGAGATTAGTAACTATGATGTATACTCTCTTATCTCATGTCAGTGGAACATAAGAGTTATTTTCCAGTATTTTGTTTTGTATTGAGTCAACCACATGCTTTTACCTGATTCATCTTTGTGATCAGCAGCACAAGTTTGCCAGATGACTTTTTAAAGTTAAGAATACATTCTGTGAACAAGGGATATTTTTATTCTTTGCAGATATAATTAATCAAACCTATGACCCTTGTTCTTTGTACTTTAAGCAACTGGATTAACCACTGAACTATCAGGTATATTGTTCAGTAAACAGGAAAAAAATTTAAAACCCAAACATTAATCTTCTTTTTTTTCCCCCTGTTAGTGTGGGAAATATCACCCAGAATTTCAGCCTAAAAGTTATTTTTTTGTTTTGTTTTGTTGTTTTTCTATTATAGCCATTTGGGGGAGAGGTTGGGGGAGTTTACCGGGAATTGAATTCAGGGGCAATCAACCACTGAGCCACATACCCAGCCCTACGTTTTGTATTTTATTTAAAGACAGGGTCTCATTGAGTTGCTTAGCACCTCACTTTTACTGAAGCTGGCTTTGAACTCTTGAGACCTGCCTCAGCCTCCCGAGCCACAAGGCTTACAGGTGTGTGTCACTGGGCCTGGCCTGTTATAGCCATTTTTAATATATGAAGACTCTTTGATATATGATTTGTTTTTTGTTTAATCTCCCTTGGAATGGCCCTTTAGCTTTGTTCTGATGGAATGTGTAATTTTATGAAAGTCCTTGGAATATATTAAAAGTGAAGTTCTCTTCATTTCTAAATGCCTTTAGAATATAGACTTTTATAATACTACACACTACAAATTTTTAAATAAATACCATTTACTACTTTTATGCAGTGTAAATAATATAGAGTTTAAAACATGGAAAATAATCACCACAGTTTGTTCATATAAAATTACAAGAACAATACATGAAATGCTTATTACTTCAAGAATCTTAGTTATCTAAACCTGTACAAAAAGTTTTAGTAGCCAGGTGCACAGTGGCTCGTCTACAATCCCAAAGGCTCTGGAGACCAAGGCAGGAGGATTGAGAGTTCAAAGCCAAGCTCAGCAAAAGTGAGGCACTAAGCAACTCAGTGAGATCCTGTCTCTAAATAAAAATCCAAAAAAGCACTAGGGATGTTTCTCAGTGGTCGAGTGATCCTGAGTTCAATCCCTGCTGCTCCCTACTCCCCAAAAAAGTTTTAATAGATATTGTGAAATGTTTTAAATTACATTTGCATATATAATTTAAACATGCTTCACTCAATCTCTAAGAGAATTTTTTAAAAACAATAGAATCAAAAGATATTCATGTTGTAAATTTTTCAGTAGTGCAGAAAGTGAAAATAGAAAAATTGCCTCTCTGTACCTGAGACGCTTTCCCTAAAGATAACATTACTAATTTTTCATTGTATAGCTTTGCAAAAATAACAAAAGTTTTTCTATATTTGTACTAGTATCTACACATTAGTATGTATATTCTTTCTATAACTTTTTATACAAAAAAATCATAAAAGACTTAATTGGTCTAACAGTTTTATCCTTGCAAAGATGATGTTTTGAATTTAATTTATATTACCTTCATTTTCTTACATAGAGTAAAATACCTAGCACTATAGAAATTTTAGAAGGACCTAATAAGAAATAGTAGATGTAAGTAAAATTAATCAACAATCTCAATACTTTCAGAAAACACTTCTGATACTCAGTATATTTGATAAAACTTGTTTTCATGCATCACTTTCAACATGTGGGACTTAGGGATTTTACTTGGAGGTTTTGTATGTAGATTTAATCTATGCAAGAGTGATTGAATCTTTAATATGAAAGAAATCATAGGAAACCAGCTTTCTTATTCTAGAATTGAAATAATTCTAAAGATCTGAATTAATTTGCTCAGACTCAAGGTTGTTGAAAAGAACTCTTCTTATTTTGTATTCTCTTACCCACAATTTCAATAATTACATTATAAATGGAAATATGTATTATGAAAATGCCATTTTTAGTAGTAATATTATATAAACTCAGAAATAGCCTGTTGTGTTTGGCATTTTGCCAAGCTCTACATTTTTTGCTTATTACATCTTTAGGAGAAGTCTAAAATAAGAAACAGTGCTGGAGCTTTAAACTGTTTATTTAGAGAAAACAGTTTCTTCCTCACAGAGTACCTTGTGATTCATTGAAATATGAAAGAGTTTAGCAATATCAAAAGTAATCTATTTGGTTTCCCTGATTCCTTTTAAAATATTGATTTAATTGAAATATATAAATTCCTATGATAAATAATATATTTTGAGAGTATAAGCATACATTCAATTTAATGATTTTAATAGATGTATATAACATGATCAGCATATGATATCCAGAATATTTCCATCACTTAGGGATTCCCTTGTTACACCTTTCCAGTCTCCAATATCCAATACCTATCCCAACCCTTGGAAACCACTGCCTACCTTCTATAATTTTAAATTAATTTTGTCTTTCTTATAGTTTCATACTCTTTCTCTCTCTCTCTCTGTATAGATAGATATATAGATATATAGATAAAGACCTCCTATTCTTAATGTATATAGATATATAGATATATACAGATATAGATATAGACCTTCTTTAATTCCTCCTCTCAAATTTCTGGGCTCCCTTAAAAGACAACCTGACCCAGTGACTCAGGAGGCTGAGGCAGGAGGATTGCAAGTTCAAAGCCAGCCTCAGCAACAGCAAGGTGCTACGCAACTCAGTGAGACCCTGTCTCTAAATAAAATACAAAAAAGGGCTGGAGAAGTGTGTGTGTGAGTGAGAGAGACAGAGAGAGAGAGAGAGTGTGTGTGTATCACTTACTAAACTTTAAGCTCCTTGAGGGCAGAGACATGTTTTCATTCATCTGTTTTCTAGGCTTATTACAGAACTTGGAACATAGTAGGTTTATAGTTGTGAATATTATATATCATTAAAAGAAGGATCAAAATCATATGTTGGTTCTTATAATTAGTATCAATGCATAATTTATCATGACAACTTAGGGAACAAAGCTGAAAATGAAAGTTATAGGATAAAGCTAGAAATTTTTTTTACTGATCATTTTTAATGCATTTCAGATAATTGGAGGACAAATGAAGATTTCTAGTATGACTACTTAATACTTGAGTTTATTTGGAATAAACTTGACAAGTTAGTTAAATTCTGATTTATTTTTAGAAAGTTCTCTTTGCATTCGCGAGGCTCTGCATGTTTTATCTCCAGCACTGAAAAAAATTTTTTTGACACATTCACACAGTATTCACCTGATGAGTTTTTCCTTCTCGTTACTAATTTGACAATATTAAAAACACAACAACAATTCAAAGGGTTAAAAGTAGTTAATTTTACATTAATTTTAAGTCAATCTGCTATAACATTTTAGATGTATTACATTGTGTATCAAGATAAAATAAGTTTATTTTAGATTAGATTTAACAAGAAAATTCGAGGGATTCTTTGCTTTAAGTTCTTTAAAATTGAATGAACTTATAGCTGGAGTGTTTGGGTAATTTCTATTGTATTGGGGTTACATAAGTAGAATTAGTAACTGTAGGATAAAAGGATGAAATTTAAATCTGTATTGTATAAGTAATGACTAAGAAGTGAGGAAGTTTGTTCTTATCTTAATTCACCTCCAAAATAATCTAATCTTAATCATTAGTTCCTTTTTTAAAATAGAATGTTTATCTGATGGAATTTTTAAGTATAAAACTCAGAAATAATTGTTCATTTTAATGTCAGAGCATGATCATTTGAAACTGTTACTTATAAAAGAAATGTGTTTATTCTTAAGTATAATAGAAAATGAATTAGTTGATATTATCTTCAGGCCCAGGATACTCTGAGCTTCCTGTTCATCTTCTATATTCTTTAAAAATAGTATTATGGGAAAAATGCATATGATTCTCTCAGAAGATGAGGAAAATGCATTTGATGAAAGTTCAACTTCCTTTTGTGATATAAACTCAATAGATTTAATATAAAAGGAATGTTCCTCAATACAATAAAAGCCATGTGTGACAAGCTGTTTTAGTCAGCCTTTTTATTGCTGTGACCAAAAGACCTGACAAGAACAATTTTAGAGGAAGAAAAGTTTATTTGGTGCTCCCAGTTTTAGAGGTCATAGTCCATACATGGTCGACTCCATTCCTCAAGTCTCTCGATGAGGTAGAACATCATGGCAGAAGGGTGTGACAGAGGAAAGAAGCTCAGGACGTTGATGATCAGAAAGCAGAGTCTGCTCTGCTCACCAAGGACAAAATGTGTACTCAAAACAGCCATACCCCACCTAATTACACTTATCACCCAGTTAATCTATTCAAGTAGACGAGTACGTTTGTTAGGTTAAGGTTCTCATGATCCAAACATTTCATTTTATTTTTCTAACTTTCTTGCATTGTCTCACACATGAGCTTTAGAGGGACACCTCATATCTAAATCATAACACAAGCCCATAATTCATATCATACTTAATGGTGAACAGTTGAAGGTTTTTCCTCTAAAGGTAGGAACAAGAAGACCAGGAAGCCATATTCAATATGGTACTAGAATTTCCAAAGCAGTTGAGCAAGAAAAATAAATAAAAGTTATCCAAATGGGAAAGGGAGAAATGAAACTTTCTTTGTTTGCTGACAACATTGTCTTATATATTGAAATTTCTAAAGATTGCACCACAAAAGCTGTTAGAAAAATGGAATTCAAGCCAGGCATGGTGGTGCACACCTGTTACCCCAGTGGCTTGAAACTGAGACAGGAGATCGGGAGTT